GTGTCTGCTGGCTCTGTTGTTCAAGCTTTCGCAAAAGCCGGCATTATTTCTGAGGAGCCGCACGGCACGGAAAGTGACTCTGACAGCGAAGAAGGGGAAATTGGCATGTCTGATTTAGTGCAGCTGTTCAATTCAGAAACAGAGGATGATGACTTTGATGGGTTTGATTAATACTTTGTAATAAATACTTGAATAAAGCACAATCATACTCAGTTTTGCTCCCGCTCTATTTTTCTACCTGAAAACTAATAACTTAATCTGGGCCGGGTCGCCTCCGGGTTCACGCGGCTGGCAGGTGTTTTTTCATCTAAATGATCTAAATCTTGCAGCTATATTTGATGTGATCAGTGGGAATAAAGTAGTTTTAATATGTTTTTAAGTGAGAAAGTCCACCTGAAAACGTAATAATTGCAGTCAGTTCATCCAGATTATCATCCTGCCTATACTATTTCTGTCGGAGGCGCTCAGACCCCCACATACCAGCGGTGCACCGACAGCAGAAATCCCTTCATCAGCAGCCTCTAGGCCGGGTAGCCTCCAGGTTCACCGCGGCTGCTGGCAGGTGTTTTTCATCTAAATAATTTAAACTGCAGGCACCAGGATACCGGTAATAAAAGCGAACATATTCCGTCGGCAGGTTTCAGGATTTTAAGTTAATTTAGGACTGATCACAGACATCTGTGTCATCAGCGATGTGTCTGTCTCAAGGCCAGCACGCAGGTTTTGTATTAATACTTTGTAATAAATACATGAATAAAGCACAATCATACTCAGTTTTGCTCCCGCTCTATTTTTAAATACGCAGTAGAGGTATTTAAACGTAGTAGAGGACATGTACCTGTATATAAAAAAAACCCTATAGTCCGGTGCGCCTTATGTGTGTGTTAAATACAGAAATGGCACACATAACTGAGACTGCGCCTTTTATGGTCGTGAAAATTGTCTGTTTTTTTATACATTTCCATCCCCAGGTTTAATTAATTACATTGCTTGTCCAAATGCTCCTGGCCCGGTCCTTCTGTCACATTTTAGAACCCATTCTGGCCCGAAAGTCAAAAAGTTTGCCCACCCCTGGTCTAGTAGTTCCCATTGATTTTGCTTGTAAAGCGGGGAGAATGCGGTTGGCTTACCGCACCATGACATCACTGCTGGAAGATGGCAGGAGGCAGGGGTTACTATATTTGCCTCACAGAACCAGAACCAACCACAAGCAAACACTTGATTTCATTTTAGATTCTAGCTTTTTGTTCTAAAACATTTCCTCCAATAGCTGCCATGAAACATTTGATCACTGGGTGATAAAATTAAGAATTTATTAACTTTTTGTTCTTTAACTCAGATCAACCAAAGGAAGCAGACAGCATGGCAGCAGCACAGCCTGGTGAGTTACACCTCTGAGCAACGCAGATGACTGTATCTGTTGTCATGGAGACATGAAAGCACAACTACATGGAAAAATATGAACAGACAATGTATTTAGCTTGATGTAGAATCATGGTTTTAAAATAATATGATAATAAACAGAAACGTGGTTCAACTTTGAACTAAAATCCATCCCAGAGTTTCTCCACCATGACTGACTGCTTCTGGGTTCTGGGAAAGTTGTCCTGATGGTTTTTATCCTCATCAATCTAAAGATGCACACAGCTGAGCTCAGCATCAGTCTAGATCATGTTAATCCAGTTTTAATTATTAAAACAAATAGTTAAAAACCTTTAATCCACAGACTTCAGCCCACAGCCTGCTCAGCTTTGACAGAGAGAATAATAATCAGTGCTTCCCCTCTGGGTTCATTTGCAGCTTCAGAGCAGATTTTAACCTTTTATCTATAAGTAAATTAAACAAACAAACTTACATGAGAAATGTAGCTGTACATCCACAAAATATAGGGTACTTTGTTTCATAAAGCGCAAAAAAAGACATTTTTGTTTTTAAAGCCCCTAAGGGGTTCAAACAATAGGTCCCCCCATTTCAACAAATTAGGTTCTGCCTTTTAAGACAGGAAAGTATAGCAGTTAAAGTTGCTACTTGAGAAAATACTGAACCATAGAGATAAAAATAGCCCTGTGATTCAAATTATAAATTGTATTTGGAATAAAAATGAGAGAACTAGGGGTGCTAAAAAACACATCCTCCAAAGACAGATATTTACATGGGAATGTGGCAGATAATTAATTGACATATTACTGATCTTGCTGGATTTTATTCTGCTTTACTTCCATAAATTGCAGGATCTTCTTTACTGTATCTTTGCCAGAAGTATTTGAAGTTAATTTATTTATAAAGGCTATTTTAATTATTGTGATCGACTTGCGACGTCAATCCCGCCGCATGCGCGCTTCATTTGCAGTCCGGTCGCTGAGGGTAAACATCCTGCAGCTCTGACTGCAGCGCTGAGAGGGACTCCTGCAGGAGAACGGGGTTGGGATGGGGGGGGCGCCTCACGGCAACAGCTGCCGCTGGAGAACAAGAGAAGGAAGGATACATGCTTTCACGTAATAGTCTCCAAAAGCCGCCAGTGACACCGTAAAAATTTGCCAGATTTGTCGCTAGTCGCTTTTTTGAAAAATAGTTGCTGGAGGGGTCTGAAAAGTCGCTAAGTATAGCGACAAAGTCGCTGAGTTGGCAACACTGCGCACCTGCAGCGCTGGCTCGCTCTGCCGTCATTTTTTTTTCTTCCCCCGTTTCAGTCAAGTGGCAGTGATGATGGCGGCGGCGGCGGATGATGCATTAATCGCGCGACACAACTAATCGATGATGAAATTCGTTGCCAACGCTTTTAAAAGTCGATTTTTATCGATTTTATCGATTTGTTGTTGCAGCCCTAAGTTTCACGTTGTTACATGTTTTGAAAAAATATTTTCCAACTGTGATGCACTTTTGAAACTGCTGAGCTTTTGAAATTTTAAAAAAATTTGAAAAATTTGCTGAAAAAAACAAACATTGCTTCTTTATTTATCTATTTTTCCAAAGGGATTTTTATATGTTTAGAAAAGTAAAATTGGAAGTATTTAGAGAATAACTCCTATGTAGTTAGGAAAACATTCCATGAGAGTGTTAATAGTCCAATTCTAACACCTAGTCGGTGTAATTAAGTGTTAACTTATCCACTCCAGAAATATTTATTATTAAACACTTAATCAGAGTTACAATGCCAGCTCTCCAAAAAGAGTAAAATTAACACTCGCTAGTGTGGACCGATATAGACACTTCAAGAGTGTTAAAATCAATTCTGACAGTGTTGATTTGATCATGTTGGATTTGCTGTGTACTTAAAATGTGCAGGGTCATCTTTGAGCACGCCATTTCACTTTTCTTTCACCAGTTCACCGCAGTTCTTCCAGCAGTCCACACTTTCTCTGCTCTCTTTTTCTTCTCCTTCTTTCCCATTGCCCGGCTTGTCACAGGTTTGCCTGCTGTGTCTAAAAGTAGCAGCAGCAGCAACCCAGACTGACAGCAGCTCATTGGCTCATTTAGATCACGTGCAGCCTGGTCCCAGAGGACTTTACCGTACAAACAGGAGAAGCAGACAACATGCAGTAATTTATAAATGTTTTAAATCAGGTTGGGTCCAGCTTAGCCAACATTTGGGTCCAGATCCGGACTAGGCCCACTAATCCGTGACCTCTGCACTAAACCTTTAATTTCTGGACATGTATGATTTGCTTTCTTAGTATGTGTGGATTGCATGGATTGTTACCAACATCTGGTGAAAATGTCATGTCAATAGCACATCTAGAAATATATTTACTGAGAATAATGGTGATGTGGTCAATACTTATTTCCCCTGCTGTTAATATGAGTGAACCTTCTGCTGAGCCATTAGTCCTTTAATCCTGGAGATGGTGATAGAAGGTCTTTATGATCCACTGTAGGCTCAGGTTAGAGTCCATCACTACACCCAAATTTAAAGCCTACTTTCTAGCTGGATTAACTGGAGCTGTGTTCTTCCTTGTATATTATTTCCTTTGGTCCTAAAATATAATTACTTTAGTTCAGAAGGTAAAGTAACAAACTTTCGTAAAATAAACAACGTTTACATTGATGGAAAAAGGAAAATGATTGAAATTGCTCCTTATTGATCCCACAATGGCGAAATGAACTCTGCATTTGACCCATCCCCTTGGGGAAGCAGTGGGCTGCCTTTGTGTGGCACCTGGGGAGCAGTGTGGAGTTAAGGGTCTTTGCTCAGAAACACAGAGTGCAGGCTGTGGGGATCGTACTTCCAACCTTCTCAGAGCACAAGCACACTGCTCTAACCACGAGGCCAACACTGCCCAGTTTATTTAGCCTGAAACAGTTTTCTCTGCCCAAACAAAGTGGACCTGTGTGATGAATAGCGGGTCTGAGACGATTATTTGTGTCATATGTGCGATAAACAAAAAACACATTTTTAGGAAAGACCTAAAAGTTTTGTGTCACTACTGACTGGCACTGGGATATGTACATACGTTTATTAATCTTAAAAAATATACATGAGATGGACCAAGCAAAACTGGAAGAGTAAATGATACATACTTTTTCTTTTTTTCTATCGTCATCAGAAATCCAAACAAGTATTAAAATGTTCCATTAAAGAACATGCTTTGTGTAATGTTTGTTTCATGTGGAGTACAGTATTAAAAGTAAAAAAAAAGTAGTTTTTCTTCAGAGACAGAACTTAGAATTTCTTCCTCATAGTATTTTTTTAATTACCTAAGAATGTTACTTATATTTTGAAATTATGTTTATTTTTGCAGTTTTTATTAAATAATATTAAGCTTGGTGTTAGATATGATAAAGAGTTTATTGAGAACTATTTACTTTTTGTTACCCAATGACTGTATGAAGTTTACCTGTTTTAATTCTTTAATATCTGAATTAGATTTGAAATTCTTTTTCATGAAATTATAATAATGGAGGATATATCCAGTTTATTTTCCTCTTAAGGCTTAGATTGATATAATTTAAGAATTATGTTTATACCTAAAAATTATTTCAATGTTTCTCTCCAGTGTCAGAAGTGAGGATCGTTCTGCTGGGAAACGACTGGTTTGAAAGAAGCTCAGTGGGAAACATGTTATTGGAAGAGAACAGGTTTGAGAAGAACAGAGAACCAGAAAGCTGTCTGAAAGTCACAGGAACGATCAAAAACAAACTATTTGTTCTAATAAACACACCAAATCTGTGCCTTGAATCTTCTGAAGAAGACTTTAGAAAACATGTGGATCAATGTGAGAAACTCTCTGCTCCTGGGCCTCATTTGTTCCTGCTGGTTCTACAGCCTGAAAACTTCACAGAGAAAGACAAACTGAACCTGTCTACATTTCTTGAAGATTTTAGTGATCAAGCATTTGGCCACTCATGTGCTCTGATAGTATCCAATAAAACAAAGAGTTCTGGTTCCATGGAAGAATATATGCTAAATCAACAGCTGAAAGAATTAATTAAGAGATGTAAACAGATAATGTTAATGGGATATAATTATGAACAAAAACGACTGTTAATGGTTATTGAAGAAATGGTGAAGAACTCTAAAGAAGAACATGTCACCAGAGGAGTTCTCAAAGATCCAACAGCAGCTGCGCAAAGTCAGCATGCAAGAGACGGTAAGTGTGCTTTATGTAGACTTTGACTTATTTGTGTTGTCAATTAAAACAGTTATACAACTAGTGGAAACAGATAAATGAGATATAAGAAATTAATATTGTATTTGTATTTATTTCAGCACATCAGCTCCGAATAGTGATGTTTGGAAAGAGTGAAGACAAGAAAACAACTTTGGGAAACATCTTAACAGCGAAAAAGGACTTTACCGATTCACCATTTAGTACTTCTAGAATAATTTCTTCCAAACACTGTGATGTTGTCAAAGGTTCATGGAACAGTAAACCAGTAACAGTGGTGAGGACTTCAGACTTATCCAGTTTATCTGTGGAAAGTCTGAGAAAAGAGATCCAGAAATGTGTGGAGTTCTGCTCTCCTGGACCAAATGTTCTGCTGCTGTTGGTGAAGCCTTCAGATTTTACTGAAGAGGACAGAAAAACACTGAAGTTCATCCTGAGTTTGTTTCTACCAGATGCCTTCAAACATTCAATGGTTATCCTGACACATAATGAGAAGCCTGAGGATAAAGCAGTAGAAAAACTGATCAATGACTGCAAGCAAAGGAAACTCAGAGTCAGTCTTCACAAACATGAAATCTCATCAGATGACCGGAAGAAAATGACAGAAGAAATAGAAAAGCTTGTTTGTGACAATAGAGGAGAATATCTAACGCTGAGTTATGAAGATGATTTCATGCCTTTGTTGAACAGACCCACACCTTCACTGAACCTGGTTCTGTTTGGTAGAAGAGGAGCAGGGAAGACTTCAGCTGTTGATGCCATCTTAGGAAAAGAAAGATTTGGACCAAAGGCCAACTCCTCAGAGTGTGTTAGAAACCAGGGAGAGGTTCATGGACGTTGGGTTTCTGTGGTGGAGCTGCCTGCCTTGTGTGGAAAAGCTCAGCAGGAAGTGATGGAGGAATCATTCAGGTGTATCTCCCTCTGTGAACCTGAGGGTGTTCACGCCTTCATCCTGGTCCTACCTGTGGGTCCCCTCACTGATGAAGACAAGGGAGAGTTACAGACCATCCAGGACACATTCAGCTCTAGAGTCAATGACTTCACCATGATCCTGTTCACCACAGAGTCAGATCCTACACATCCTAACTTCATAGAGAATGATAGAAACACCCAGGAGCTTCTTCAGAGCTGTGGAGGAAGATATGTTGTTCTCAACATGAAGGAGAGGAAGCAGATCCCAGAACTCTTGAAAAAAGTGGAGAAGAGTATTTCTGAGAGGGGGAATCGTTCCTGCTACACGACTAACACATTAATACATGGTATAACGGAGAAAATGTCCATTCTACAAGCTGAAGTTCAGAAATTCAGAACAGAGACTGCTCTCACAGGTAAAAATAAGTTTTAATTAGAATAACATTTAATATTATCTGTCTTAAGAAATTATTTATAAACTATTAAAGCAATTAAAATTGCTTAAAAGAGCTTAAGCTCTTTTTGTGCATTTGAAATTAAATCTACTTTTAGCAGGTTTCAATAGAGTTAAATATATTCATCATTCAGTAATAAGTATTCCGTTTGAAAATGTTGACTTAGAATTAGAGTTTTTGTCTTCTAAGATATTAGACTTGTATGAAATGACATGGGACATGTTTTCAAAACATAACAAAAAATGGAAAGGGAGCTTGAAAAAATTATTCATTATTACCATTTTAATCTTCTGCTTCCGTGATGGATTAAATTCTTAACGAGCTTGGCCAACTCAGAAAATTTTAAATACTTAATTCAATAATAAAAATATATAAATATTGATAAAATTAAAGAGTGATGTTAAAACTATATGCCAGAGATATGAATCCTGTTGGGCTCTAAGGCATACATTTTAAAATTGTTGAAATCTTTAAATTCAAGGTAAAGATTATTATAATTAATTCAGATTTTAATAAGATCCACACATATTTTTGAAATTGGTATCACAATTATATTCTTAATCTGTTTTTGATATTAAACTTAGGACAAAGGAAGTTAAAACTATTTATTAAAAAAAAGTGTGTTTTCCATTCTTAAAAGTGGTTGGCTGAGCTATCCTTCATAGCTTTTGTAAAATACAGTGTAATCCAGACCTAGATCCGCTAAGACCACAGCACAAAATATCTCTGCGCTAGTGTCAATGGGTGTAGCATCTCCTGATTTCGCAGCCAAGAAACATAGCACTAAAACATCTCAACGCTGGTCTGGTCTATCACCAAAATCATTATCTGTTGATCACCATTTCAAGCATAAAAACCATAAATCCTTTAATAATGTCTCATAAACATTGACATTTTATCATTAAGTGTAAAATTAGGAGATGAGAAAGTATCATGATCAAATGGATGATAGGGAAAATAGTGATGACAAAGCATGAAGGAATGCTCCTAAGAGGTTTGTAGGTGGCTTTTAAAAAAGCTGTTTTAATTTCGTCCTAGAGGGACTGTTTTGTCACCCCCTCCAGCCTGCCTTTGCTGTCCTTCCACCTCCAGCAGTTAGTCTCTAGAGCAGGGTCACCAAGACTGAGGGCTATTCTAAGGGTACTCATTCATAGGACAGGCTACAAATACTGGCATGTGAACTGTAGGATTCATTATTTACCTAAACTTCATAGATAATAAAAATATTTCTATTGTTTCTTTTCATTTCTAATTTGCTTTAACTTTATTAAAATTTTGAAATCCTTATGAATGCTTACATGTTTTAAATTATTGATATGATGAAATGCTTTATAAATGCTTTAGACTGAGGCCACCCCATGTTGTCCTTGAAGGCCCCTTGTTGCTATGGGCAGGTGACCCCTGCTGTAGAGGCTAGCCTCAATTGCAAAATAGCCACTGACTGGGGCTGCAGCGGTGGTTCTGGGATTAAGCGCACAACCCCTGTACCAAGGCTTTGGTCCACAAGGAGGCTGTGGCAGGTTCGAGCTTCAGCCTGTTGACCTTTGCCCCATGTCCCCCCTCCCTCAAATTCCATTTCCTTTTACCACCATTGAAATACTCTAAACTAAACAAATGACTATTCTTTAAAATCACTTAACTTTTATATGATTCTTTTAAAGGATTTCAGCAGAAAGGAATAATGAAATAGTGAGTCAGAAACTATTTAATAAACCCAACTAGCCCAGTATAAAAAAGTCAAGGTTTCAATCTCACATTCTCTTGTATAAGTCTCAATATATAAATCCAGCCAGAGTTTGAGATTATTCATGAGCAGATGCAGCATCTTCATTCAGTATTGTAGATACCCCTGTATCTCTACAGATAGAATTATTGCTAAGAAGGGAAGCCTATCTAACTGATTTATTAAGAACTTTCAGACGAGGCACACAGCTGCACTGCAAAAGTTGTTTGAGTTCATTATGTGGAAATATTTTGCCTGCTGCAGGAAGATGGACCATAATAGCTTAAAGAAGACCTTACTATGTGTGTGTTCAACTGTTTGAATCCAAAGTCTTTTTTTTTTGTGAGGGAGTAATTTCCAGATAGGGTAAAAAGGAAATAGCATTTTTTAAGTTTTAACAGAAATGCTCCAATTAAGTGTGACAAAAAAATATTAAACAATTATCAGACAACGCAGATATCAATAATAATCAATTCCTATTTCAGGCCTCGGTTACTTTACTATTGCTCTCAGTGAATGCAGACAAGTGTGACCCGAACCTATGTTTTACCTTCTTTTTATCCTGAAGTTCATCCCCTAAAGGTCCATCCGGCCCAAAGTTAACACAATTAACTTTTAACTACATAATTCCCAGAAGGCCTTTTTTGTTTTTCTCAGCTCCACAGAAAATCCCATGATACTATGCAAGGAGAGCTCTCGCAAAGCATTCTGGGATAAATCTGCTCGTCTAGTAACCATCAATGATCTCTACCTATCAAGGTGCATTGTGGGAAATTTTGAATACACTACTTTTTCATCAACTAGACGTTTGGACACTCATCTAAAATGGTGTAATCACTATAGAGTGCCCTATGAGTTATTAAGCCAGATATTCTGACACAGCGAGAGAGAAGTGTTACAGAACGCTGTTTTTGTAGCAATTTGATTCTGAAATTAGCCATGAAGTCCACTTAGCCTGTGATCAGTGTAGTGTGAAAAAAGTATTCAACTACTCACCCTAGTTCAATAAACGGAGATCGATGGATTTCACTCAGTCGGCACATTTATTTTCATATCTTTGCAAAGAGAGAACAGTTCATCATACGGCCCTTACTGCTCTGTATTCAGCCTTGTTCTGCATGAGCAGCGTTTGTTCCCCCCACTTACAACAACGGAAAGCAGTCAGAGTCAAAACAAATTACAGACACTTTGGTTAAACAGTAACATGTTATGTATAAACCTTGAGAAAGAATCTGGTTTGTTTTGGGAAAAAGCTATGTCTGGTCTACAAACACTCTCACGCAGATAATTCTGTGGCCTTGCAGATGAAACAGACTGAGTGAAAACCTTTATAGTGAGTAAATTGGATAAACTGATATACGTATGAAATAAGAGAAATTTAAAATTTCCGACCACATCAGTTAGTTGATTCTAGTCCATAGCATGTGGCCCTCTATGATGGAGTCTCTATTGATATGATCCCCAGGACAGTCATGCAGCAAAGAGACTGAAAAAAGAATGAGGCAGAAAAATTAATATCATGGTTTATGGCCCAACACTATTAGAGCAGCTGAAACATAGTCATCCTTTCATATAAACTGTACTGATCTACATGGTTAAATTGTGTTAGGTGCAAAAAAAAAAAAAAAAAAGAACAACCAAAGTAGAATCACTAGAAGGCGCACTTAGAGGGGAGTGAGACCCTGCAGAGGAGTGGCATTTTGACATGACACTTGTGACACTGCTTCCACTGATAAAGTCAGATATGATTGTGGAAATTACCCTGTACATCACCACCACCCCTTTTTTTCACTTCAGATATTTAGTCATTTAAGAGCTATATTCATCATGCTGTGAACTTTTTGCTAAAGGCTGTCATACTGTCAGAACGTTTTTATACCTAAACCAGACTTTCCCTAAATTCTGATTCTGAGGAACTAAATGGAAGCTTTATCAAGCATTGTCTAGCTTACCTACAACAATAATTACCATGAAATGACCATGTTATTCATGTTTTTAACAAACTGCAGTTGACATGTAAGAATGAAATGTTGGAAATACAAAGCAAGCATATGGCTTCTTTGTAAACCGGGATCAAAATCTTCTCTGCTCTTCTTCCTCTTTGTCTATCTAGGCATGGAAGTGGGGTTTGAAGTCAGAACCTCTGGATTCCAAGCGCAATACCCTAACCACTAGGCCGCCACTCTCTATTGTCATGATTCAAAGTATTGTAGCCTTTACAAATGTTCTTACTTTGAATTTCTTCTTCACAGATATTGAGGAGAAGAAGAGCCCAGAATGTCTCAGGATTGTTCTGATTGGGAAAACTGGTTGTGGGAAGAGCTCATCAGGAAACACCATTCTTGGAAGAAATGAATTCAGATCTGTACCACTTCAACAGTCAGTCACAAAGTTCTGTCAGAAAGCCCAAAGTGAGGTGGATGGTTGTCCTGTTATTGTTGTTGACACTCCTGGTCTGTTTGATGACACTTTGTCTCACGAAGAAGTCATTGACGAGCTGGGGAAATGTATGAGTCTTCTGGCTCCAGGTCCACATGTCTTCCTGCTGGTGTTAGAGATCAGTAGATTCACACCAGAGGAGATGGAGACGTTAAAACTCATCAAGAAAGTTTTTGGAAAAGATTCTGAGAAGTTCACCATCATCCTTTTTACTGGAGGAGACAAATTGGAACGTCACAAAATAACAGTCAGTGAGTACATTGCAAGTTGCAATGATTCTTGTAAGAAGCTGATCGCTGACTGTGGAGAAAGATATCATGTGTTTAACAATGTTAATGAACAGAACCGCTCACAGGTCAGTGAGCTGATCAGAAGGATCAACACAATGGTGAAGCAAAATGGAGGAGACTACTACACCAATGAGATGCTGCAGGAAGCTGAAGCTGCCATTAGGAAAGAAATAGAGAGAATACTAAAGGAAAAGGAAGAGGAGATGGAAAAAATAAAAGAGGAGCTTAAAAGAAAACACAAGGAAGAAAAAGAAGAAATGGAAAAACAAATTGAGAAACAGAGAGCAGACATGGAAAAAGAAAGAAAATTGAAAACTGAACAACTTCAAGAGATGGAAGAAAACATTAACAGGGAACGAGAGCAAAGAAAGAGAGAACAGAAAGAAAGAGAAGAAGAAAAGAAGAAAAGAAAAGCGTTTGAAGAACAACAACAACAAGAGTGGGAGAAAAAACAAAAGGCTTTAGAGGAAAAAATGAAATCAGAATCAGCAGAAAAGGAAAATATTGACAGGAAATTAGAACAGATGAGGAAAGAAATGGAAGAAGAACGTGAAAAAAAGGAGAAGGAAAGAAAACAGTGGTGGGAAAAAAGAGAGAGAGAGAATGAAGAGAGACGAGAAGAGGAGCAACGGAAACTGAAAAAGCTTCAAGAAGAATTTGAGAAAGAAAGAGAAGAATATGAAACTAAACTTAAAGATGATGAACAGAAAAGAAAAGAAAAAGAACAAAAACTTCAAACAGACCTTAAAGAAATGGAAACAAGGATAAATCTGGAGCAGGAGGAGAAAAAGAAAGAACAAGAGAAGAGAAAAGAAGAGGAAAGGAAAAGAGAAGAGGAGGAGAAAAACCAACAACATGAGTGGGAGCAAACACAGAAAAAATTGGAGGAAAAAATCAAATCAGAATCAAAGGATAAAGAGACTATCAGCATGAAACTGGAAGAGATGAGTAAAGAGATGAAACAAAAACGAGAAGAATGGGAGAGGGAAAGAAGAAAAAGAAAACAACAGGATGAAGAGGAACAGAAAAAACGCAAAGAGCTGGAAGAAAAATTAGAAAAAGAAAGACAAGAACTTAAGAACAAAATAGAATCTGATAAAAAGCGACAGAAAAAGGAGGAGAAGGAGAGAAAACAGATAGAGAAACAACTCAGAGAAATGGAAGAAAAGATTGAGATGGAGAGGGAACAGAGAAAGAGAGAACAGGAAAAAAGGGAGAAAGAAGACAAAGAAAGAAAAGAAGAGGAGGAACGACAACGACAGGAGTGGATGAAAAAACAAAATGCTTTAGATAACAGAATCCGGTCCGAGTCAGAAGAAAAGGAGAAAATTAACAAGGAATTGGAGCAGAGCAGAAAAGAGATGGAAGAAAAACGAGAAGAATGGGAGAAGGAAAGGAGAGGGTGGTGGGAAAAACGACAAAAAGAGGATGAAGAGAAGCGTGAAGAACTAAAAATGCTTCAAGACGAATTTGACCAAGAAAGAGAAAAATATGAGATAAAAAGAAAAGAAGATGAGAAGAGACGAGAAGAAGAAGAGAAGCAAAGAAAAGAATTAGAGCAAAACTATGAGAATGAAATTCAGAACATGAAGAGTAAATATGAGGAAGAGGCCAGAAAAAAAGCTGAAGAGTTCAATGAGTTTCAAGAGAAATACAAGAAGGAACTTATTGAGAAACATGAGGAAGAATTAAAAGCTATGAAGGATAACCACAGGAAAGAAATGGAAACAAAAGAGAAAGAGCTGAAAGATACAGAAGAAGAAAAGAAAAAATTAGATGACATAAGGAGAAAACAAAAAAAAGAACTGGATGATTTAAAAGAGAAATTTGTTGTAAAGCATTGTGTTACTAGTTAATGGATATATTCTCCAATATGACGCAGAATGTGAAAATTATACATTTACTGAACTGCATTTGCTTCAACTATTTAGCAAATAAAACATTCATAAAACATTAACTTCATCTGCAGAAAGAATATTAATGTAAAGTAATTTATTGAATTTACTAAAACCTGAATACTGAGCTGACATTTAAAGCTGAAACAACAAAATGAATCAGAAAACTTAAGTGTATCAGAAATAAAAATAATAAAAACAACCTTGTAAAAAATGTAAAAATAAAAACATTAAATTATGCTAAATATAACTAGATTGGTCACAACACATAAGAGAAGCTTGGATCCATGGTTGTGTTCTTTGTTTCCCTTAATTCAGACTCTGCTCCATCTGTCATGCCAAGTAGCCTCCCTTCTTCCTGTTTATCTGCAGGAGTCTTTAAACCTAGAAGGCTTTTCTTATCTGTAATTAGTTTCCAGTAACTTTGGATCAATATTTTTATCTTTAACATTTGTATTTTTTGGTTAGCTCACTTGGTAAGTGTCGAAATGATAAAATGATAAAATTGATCTACTGTACATAATGATGTAGATTAAAGGCTCTGGTTCCTGCCTGGGTAAAAAGTAGAAGGCACTTGCTAAATAAAAAAAAAAAGGAATTTGTTTAATTCGCTAATTAAGTTCCACCGTTGATTTCTGACAGGGGACAAAGTCCAATGGTTCCACAAAGTTTATAGTGACTCTTTCTTTGATTAAAAAGGTTTTCTTCTAACTTTTCATGTATTGTTTTTAGGTGGGAGGGTTCAGGCCTTAGAGTTGCCTTTTGCTTTACAGTAAAAATCTCAAGTCAATATAGATAATCTAGTATAATAAATTGGTGTACTTTAGATGTAGCCGACTGAAGATGATGCACAAGGGTTAAATCAATCAGGGTCAGTAGGTTGAATTAACAGTTCTTCAAAAAAAATTTATTTTAAAATAAAGGACTCATGTTTTTTTTTTTTTTTATTGTTTTTAACACAAAGCTTCTTTATTGCTCCAGCAATATCCTGTTTATATAAGATGCATTTTATAATTCAGTAAAGTTTTTTAGCTGCTCAGCTCCATTTTTTATCTTTGTTCCATTTTTTTCTGTGTTAAACATTTCTGTCATCTCAATCTCAGCTCAGTAGAGCAAATACTGATCCCAAAAGTTCACTGAAAGAGAAAAGGTGGTGGAGCTTCTGTTTCTGAATTGGAGATAGTTTTAACTTGGACATCAGATAGGCTGCTTGTATTATAGCTAATAGAGCATGCAATCTTACTATTATTTCTGTATTTTATTTGTCCCTAAATGACTAAGCCTTTATAATATATTTTTAATCCAATATTGATTTTGAACTTCTTACTGTTGGAATCATTTTCATATCTGGCATCTTTGTCAACCATGTTTTGTGTTAAATGTTCTACATTAATAAAATGGTGTAATGTTTTTGGAATCCTAAGTTGTCCTTTAACTTTTTACAGAAAACACACAAAACACCCAGCTTATAATTTTTCTGTTCGAACAAACTGGCTTAATCCATTCTAGCTATTTCTGCAGATACTTGTCTTCATGTTGTTATAACAACCAAAATAAATAACAGGTTATTTTACGATGACAATTAATTCAGCATCCCGCCTCTCAACCAGAGATTGTTTGAGATAAGCACCACAACTCTGACGGCATAAGCAGGAGAAGATGGATTGATGGATTTCTTCAATTTACTGAGTAGTTTGACTCACATGCTAAAATATGGAGACATGTTGAAAGGAACAGAGGTAGAAACCTAGTATAAATTGTCATAACACAAAATGTTTTAGACACATAATATAGGGGCACATTGTCCATATCAGAACAGTTTTAATGGTACTTTTAAAAAAAGTTCCTTTTTAATATGATTTATTTTATCAAACCCAGATTGGGTCCAGCTTCGAAGTAGGTCAGCTTCATTAATGCTACAGTAACCTGAGTCTCTAAGTTAACTTTTTATGTTTACTTTTTTATTTTATTTTAGGTAATATTTCTTGCATCCAGATGTAAAACAAAAAATAAGATGCGTAATTCAATAGTAGTGGAAAACTCAAGGTAAAATGTCAGTACAAATGTAAATAAGATATAAAAAAAAATGAGACTAAATAATCCAATCCAATCCCATTTTTATTTAAATCTATCTGAATAATAGGCAGAGAAATGAACAAATTTTCTTATCCTTGATTTAGACTTTCTGAATCACTTTATCATAGTTCAATCTGAAAAATTCACATGAAGAGAAAAGACAATTAGAAGAAATTTATTGATACAGTTATTTTGTCTTTGGCGCTCAGACCTCTGCAGGAAACATAGCACTTAATTTTAATAGATATGCATGAACAGGAGCAAAGAACAGGGCTGCCCCCCCCCCCCCCCCCCCCCCCCCCCCCCCCCCCCCCCCCCAGGCCTGAAACTGGTGGTGGAGTGGAGATAGATAAAGTCTGCTGAGCTTTATGGGGAGATCCAGTGGACTGTGTGAGCTGATACTAGAGCTTCACTCAGGCACCTGGAAGATGGAAGTCCAATTGGATAACACAGGTTGAAAAAACCTGTCCATGATGAGCAAGCATAAAGCGACAGTGGAGAGGAAAAACTCCCCATTGGGAAGAAACCTCTGGCAGAACCAGGCTCAACATGGCGGTCTTCTGCTGGACCGGTTGAGATGAGACGAGGAATGCAGTAAGAGTCCAGGAGGAATCACACTGATGAAGCTTTAGCTGCAATGGTGGAGGAGGAGATGGAGGTGGGTTGAAACGGTGTCATCTGAATGAAGCCACACAGTGCATCCACAGCCTGCGCACAGGAGCAGACAGGTGCGTAAAGGAGGCCTTTTCAGATTAACTTTGGATGCCAATTGGCTTTTGTATAGTTGTGGTTCAAAGCTGATTGTCGGTGTCGCAGGTGGATGTATGAAAAGCAATACGTTTCTTCAGTTGAACTTCCGCCTATGCTCCATTACTGCAAAGAGGAGTTTAACCAATAGCCCCTGAAAGGGAATCAATAATCTTTTTCTCCTAAATCATAACCTATACTACACCGTTCCTCCCGTATTGCTGCGCTCAGACTTCTCCTCGGAGATCGAGGAGAGCATGCACAATATTTTCATTTAATTCGTAGGAGCAAAACATGCAGAAATGAAAGCCTAATTTAATATGACATATTTTAAAAATCCTCATCAGCATCCAGCAGATGTGCGGTTTCTGATGGAGATGAGAAATCTGCTTCCTGGTCTGTTGAAGTACCAATAGTTTGCATCCAATCTTTGAAATAAACGGTGTTAGTTTTTTGAAATATATAAAAAATGATGCTCTAATTTGTAGTTACTGATCTGTTGTTACTATATTTTAATTTGACAAACCGGATGTTCTCGCCGTTCTTTTCCCCGTTTGGTGCGATTGTAATAACCCTGGCTGCCGGGGGGTGGGGCGCCCCTGGGGCCTCGGATCCCTGGAGCCCAGGGCTGGATTCACTTTGGACTCGTCCCCGCGGCTCCCGGGGGGGTTGCTGGGGGACACCGCAATGACTGCCACTCTGGGTCTCTGAGCAAGACCCTTAACCCCACACCCCTCCCTGGGCGCCGCACAATGGTAGCCCACTGCTTCCCAAGGGGATGGGTTAAATGCAGAGGTAAATTTCTCCAATGTCAGATAAATAAAGTTCAATTCATTATTAATTTATGTCAATGTGATCATTTCTCTGAATAGATTCCAACAGTTTAGATCCTGAACAGCTGATCAGAAAAATTGGTGAAACTGTGGCTGTAGAACTGATGATCGTTTGTTTTCCATCAAACTGGGATCTGATCTGAGGGATCTTCTCAGGAGTTGATAAAATGACCAAAGGTCATTAAAATATATGTCAGTTGCTTTTTCAGTTGGGTTTTTTGATTTATCACATTCTATCATCTTTACATCTAGAGCAAGGAGGAGTCGAGGTGATAACCCCTGATTCGTTCAGCCAGAAGGAAGAACTGTGCAACTGCAGCCTCACTGCATCCATCTGCTCAGATAGACGTGGATGAAGGTGAACCTTGAAGTTAAAAGTCAACAGGTCATCCTGACTTTCAGCTCTTTGCAAACTGATGATCAGATCCTGTAATGATCTCAGAATGTAGGACCCAGAATTTGAGGCGAGACAGGCAGTGGGAAAGTTCAAAGCGTTTATTAACAGACAGGTGCGCGGGGCTGCTCGGGAGGGATCTCTGCAGAAATGGGAGAATACAGGTCAGTGACTGGATATGGAGCTTGGAGCAAAGTCACTGACCTGATTTAAAGTTCAGTCCGTTCGCGGAGCTTTGACCGCAGTAGCGGCGGACGACGCCCCCAGACTTCCTAGAGAGCGCGCAGCAGACGCCGAGCAGCAACAGAGTCCAGAAGGGAAATCCAAGGCCGAAGTCAGGAGACAGTTCCAGGATCAGATCAGACAAACAGAGCAGACAGGGGCAAGGCAAAAACTCGAAATCCTCAGGGCAGAAACTGGTCAATATCAGGGAAACAGGCAGACTACAGATTGCTAGGGAACGTATCACAAAAACACAAGAATAACCTGGCGCTGATGGGAGGCAAACACACAACTTAAATAGTAGAGTAACTAGGTGGAAATGATCGGCAATAATCAGCCGCAGAACCAATTAGACAGGAAAGCAAGGAGCAAAGGAAAAAACCAAACCATCAGCACCGAGATCATGACAGATCCTTCAAACACCTACCATGAATTCACTGTATTTCTTCCTGTTTACAGCATCTATTTATTTGTGTCCTCTAATGGTAATAAAATTAAATAATGTATAGTTTGTTTGCAATATATGTGTTGTGTGGTTTATATCTTTTGGTTCCAGCCTGAACTACAACACCAGCAAAAAAATTAAACAGCTTTGATTAAAAATTATAAATTACATTTAACAAAAACAGACATAAATTTAAACGAACAAGAAATAATCAAGCTTGCTCTTAATGGGAAAAAATGTACCT